ATGTATGTCCTTCATGAAACTTTGAGTTCTATTATTATTACAATGAATTGCACAGGCAAGTAAATTATATCAATTAATATAATAGGGCTTAATATAGTATGGAACAGTTTATTGAACCTTTAGACCAAATATTTGAAAAATCTACAAAAAAGTTTTCTTTTTTTTTTTTTTTTTGCCTGCTTATCATATTTGATGCATCAGGCTTCCAAGGCTCATAAAGAATGATATACTGAGAATATGGTGTTCACCTCAACACCTCCGTTTTATTCAGAGGCCCAAACTTAACAAAAATATGCAATTTGGTGCAGTTGCTGATATTTATATGACCAAAAGTAAGATGAAATTCTGATAATGTAAATGTAAATCAATGTAATGTAAATCATTTGGATATTTATAACAGTATAGCAGACTACTTGCATAAAATGCATGTAAATATCAGTTGTCACTTTATGTCTCACAATAATATGTCTTAGTAAGATTATATTTAAATGCTTAGTTTAATGATCAAAGCTTTCTATTTTTATATTGTAGGGGGAGAACATAATGCAGTGCAATAAAATCATGATTGAGAGATGAACAAATGAACATTCCTCAAAGCCTCATGTATAATATTTGATAAACAGATTTTAACTTGATTTTTCTAAAATGAACAATGTATGGATAATCAAGAAAACCTAAGTTGTTTCAGTCCACAAAATGTGTATATCTTGAAATATTACTAACAATATAAAAGTTATACTTACTTTTACTTCATGAAAATCAGTAAAAATATCACAGCAAAAAAAAAGGCACGTGAACCACGAGCTGAAGCTGGGCATTTTTAGAATTATACTAAAGGGACTTTTATGTGCTAAAAAAAGTATACTATCAGCCAGAGGCTAGAATGCATATAGTAGATTGTGTACAACAGGTTTTTCACCAAAGTTTTGATCATGTTTTGATGATTTAAAAGATATGTCATATTTGCATATCAAATATGACACAGTAGGCTTTGGTTAAAATGTTTTGGTATAAACAACTGGGTTTTCATGCAGATTTCCCAATTTGATTCAAATCTGATTCAATTCTGATTCATTTGGGTATATTTCTATTACAAGATCCATTTTGCTTACATATGAAATAATTGTCTGTGCTAATGCTGTAAGTTACACAGTGCAGTCTTTCAGAGTTATTCAAACCATTATCTCATCTTTTTGCACTATTCATTAAAAGAACCAGCTCATAAGGATAATTTGTTTTGGGAGTCGAGCTACACCGGTTGCATGTATGTTTTTGATTCACTTAAAATAATTGGCTGAAAGAGTCATTTGTTTGTGTGATATAAAATTAAAAGAGGCACAGAGGTAAAGGTCTACCATGTGATTTTAATAATTAAGAATCAAATTTGGTTTCTAAATGCTGCTTGAAATTTTTTCATGGTCTTGGTAGCCATTCATTCATAAACCATGTTTCTTGTCATTGCAAGCAACCTTTATTTAAATGGGTCCTATTATGCTTTCACTTTTTAAATTTTAGTCAGTGTGTAGTGTGTATGTTTGGGCATATAAAAGATTTAGAAAGTTACAAATCTCAAAGTCCACTCCAAAGGGAGATATTTCGTTTTTTTTTTAATCCCTTTTCAAGAACTAAAACGAACGGCTCGTTTGGACTACAGCGTTTGTTTTCCGGGCTTTGTGATATCACAAAGCGGCTCATTGGAATATCATTACAAATAATTCCTGCCTACAGAAATTCGAATGGTTGGGGGGTGGGGAGGGGCGAGGTTGTGGTTAGAACGCTTGGTTGATCTAACCAATCACAACACATTTTGTTTTTCGGAAGGCGGACCTTCATCAAAGCCGGAACTAATCGAGCCGTTTGTGCCAGGCTGGGGAGAAAGGTATTTTAATAATGTAAATTATGTAAAAAATAATGCGTTTTTCGAAACACCAAGCATGAGAGCATGTTCTAGTACACCCCCAAAACAAAATCAAGACTTTGTAAAAGAGCATAATAGGACCCCTTTAATGTGATCTGGGTCATATTTACTTTTATCTTGCGTAGTTTTGGTCATGGTCATACAACTTGTCCATGCAGCCATCTGCCAAATTTGGTCAACTTGCATTTTATTATTTGCATTTGACATTGTTTTTTCCCTGATCCTTTTGGGACAGACTTGTGACCCATTTTTTGGTTGTGACCTGTCCTGTCCTCTCCTTTAATTAAAAGTCTCTCCTTGCTTTTGACATCACAAAAGTCATCTTTAATAAACCTCTGCTCTGTCCTGAGACTTATAAAAGGCAGAGCGGCAGAGAATATTCTTCTTTAAGAGGGTAACTAAAAGCATTTGGGGTGTAGAAAGCTACTAGAGTAAAAAGAGCTTACAGAAGATTAGCTGCTGTTTGATGCTGGGTGGAAGTGCGTTTGTGCCCTAGTTGCTCTGTTGAGTTTGTGTCTATCAAAGGAGCCACAGAGCCTCTTTTCTCCTCAGCAGATGGAGACACGTGTTCTAATTGCAGCAGAAGTGGGCTAGATCTTTCAGAGTGAACTCAGAAAGGAACGGGAGTGAATAGATCCTGAAGAGTACTTTTTTTAAGCAAAAGAGCAAAATGAGCATTGTGTTAGGATGAGGTCACAATAAAGTTATTTAATGTGATTTAGAGTTATTTAGAGTTTTAGAGTTATTTATTTATTATTTATTTAAAGTTAATTCTGTAACCCACAGACATTTACAGTAAAAATAAAGGTTCTTGATTGGCATGTGGTTCTGTGAAGAACCTTCACATCCATGCACACTTCCATTGCACAAAAGGTTCTTTATAGTGTAAAAAACTTCTTTAGGATTTTAAAATGTTCTTCGCACTAAGAAAAAATGGTTCTTTTAAGAGCTGTTCATTGAAAGGTTCTTCAAGGAACCAAAAATGGTTCTTTTAAAGCATTACCGTGAAAACTCCCTTTTGGAAACAATTTTGAAGTGTAAAATGCATGGCAACCTGCTGACAATCGTTTTGGATTCCTATAATGGTTTTATATTAACAAGGTTATGTTTATTATTACATATATTTTAAAATTATTTTCTTGAAGTCCATTTATAATGTTAATGAATGTTTATTGCACCAAAAACTAGTTTATTTATTTTATGACCATTTTTCAGTCTTTCTATGACCTTTAGAATTTAACAGAACGTTTTTTTTCTGCTGTGCCTTTAAGACTTGTATGTAAATGGCCTATTTGCATATGAAATTAATAACAGAGCTCACAGACTTTTCTCAGCTGTTTTTTCTACTTGTGGTAGATTGTCTTGTTCGAATGAGGATGACTTTTTTAGGTCTTTATTTATTTATTTATTTATTTATATAAATACTTTGTTTTTCCTTTTAATGTTAATGTTCAAAAGAGCAAGGGAAATTTGTCTTTGCATGACACAATCATTTAAATGTTGTGTGCACTGCTGTAATAAATCCTATAGCTCCATATGAGTGTATACTTTTACATTTATTTATTTCCTGGAAGCTATTTTACAACGCAACTTTACAAAGCATTCAAGGTATATCTTTTGTCAGTATGTGTGTTTCCCCCAAGCAGGCAGTGCAGTGAAGCCTCATGAACCATGTGGTTTACTGAGATAGACCAGCATGATAAAGAATTTCACTGTCTGCCCAAATGGCTGTAATGGATACTGCATCTAAAACTTCTCTGCTTTTCCATTAATGTTGGCAACATTCACCTTTATTTGGGTAATAGATAACAAGCTTGTAACCTGTTGAGTTTTATCATGATAGATTACCATATGCAGTTCCATTCAGAACTCAAAATTCTTTACTTGAACCTTACTGTAATTTTAGGTCAGTGTATGGAATTGCTATTCTGAGTTAAAAACAAAGTTATTCTGACTGACTTTACAAAAATTGCTTATGTATCGAATTGAAAGCCAGTCAATTGAATCGATTCGCTGTTGACTCAAATATTACACCCCTAGTTGATCAGGATAAAAGCCTGAGGCGATCAATATTTAATGGGAAGAAAATCTCCTGCTTCTCACCTGCCAGCTGGTGCTAGTTTCGTAAGAAGAGTTAGGCAACATACGGTAAAGGGGGAACCTTATCTGCTGTGTGTGTGTATATCCTTTGGCATCTCTTGCCCTCATGACTCAGTGTGTAAGGTGATTCATTTCAGACACTTACAGCTAATTGATGTGTGGGTGACATCTCTGATGTGTGTGTGTGTGTGTGTGTGTGTGAGGCTGCTGTGTCATGGTCTCTCAGTGAAACATGACTGCTACTGTACCAAGTTTGGTAACATTCAGAATTGCTCTCTTTCAGTTCAAGACACAGGATGCTGAACAGAAATGACAGAAAGAGGAATTTACTGAATTACAATTCAAAGAAACTTAATGTAGTCACAGAGACCAGAATTTGTGAGATTTCACACATTTTTGACAAAGTAATTTATCCATCATTTTGATTATTTATGCATATTAATTTCCTGATATTTGGAATGAGGTGTAATTCTGTACTGTACTTTAAGTACTGTGAAAGAAATTAAATACTGGCATGCAAATAGATTTAAATTTTTTAATAATTCAAATTAAATTATTTGCATATTTATCAGCATTATTTTATATACTTTTATTTAAATCATTTAATATTAATTAGATATATCATGCTAAAAAATAAAAATTATACACATTCGAATATTGCCTTTCATGCAGTGTGTAATGTAGCTGTATGTGAATGTAATAAATCTGCAAAGTTGTAAAGCCGAAAGTGCACGATAAATAAAGTCTCCCAAAAGAAAGAATCGACTCAGTCATTTGAATCCCACTTCTGTGACGGCTACACATCACAATGTAACACATCAGCATAATGCCCGTCTATGTTCTATGTTGGCCGGCCGCGAACAGCTTGACCCCACCCTCAAACACTGTAGCTTGTTCATGTCAAGAAGACGCTGTGTCCTACACTAAGTATGATAAATAATAGATGTTTATATTTTCTATAGAGCGTTCAAAATACGGAACAATGGCAATAGGTGTATCGTTTCCCACACACACTGTATGCGGTAGACCAATAACAACAGACTGGGCCATCTGACCAATCAGAGCAGAGTAGGCTCACGTTTCCCCACACACACTGTATGCGGTAGACCAATCACAACAGACTGGGCCATCTGACCAATCAGAGCAGAGTAGGCTCACGGAAAGGAGGGGTTTAGAGAGACTGAATCTTAGAACTGCTTCGCACAAATTGTTTGAGAATCGTTGGAAAATGAGGTGATATTAAATGCATATTTTGAGAAAATTAAAGTGTTTTTTGACCTTGTATGGATGTAAACCTATTGTAGGAGACTCTCAAAACAATATTAGGAACCATAGAAATGGCATAATAAGGGCACTTTAAAATTGAGGAAATGCATAATTGAATTTCTTTGAATTTCATTTCATTTTAATTCTGCTTGCTTATTTCTGAACTCTGTTTGCTGAAATTCAAGAATTGGATTGGAATTAAAAAGGCATTTTCAGTTGAATTCTGAATGGTGCTCTCTCTGGCTGTCTTTCTTCTCATATGTATCTTTCCTTCTCTCCTCTTCTTTTCTCTTCTCACTGCTGCTGACACTAACGTCCCTCAGACTGGCACTATGAGGGTAAGACCGCTTTCTGTCCTCTACCACACACATCATGAGATGCTTCTCACTTCTCTTTCTATGACTCCACGTATTCACCCAGTAAAATCACACTCCTGTATTCATCAAGTAGATGTAATCTCACGTGAGTCAGATATGAGTGATGTGTTGTGATGAACGTGGTGGCAGATTTGATTCTGACTGTATTTCTCTCTCTTTATGTTTCTGACACAGAGTGTAAGTTGTCACGGTCGGGTCCACCTGCCACTATAGTCACCATTGATGAGGAAAGTCCAAATGGTAAGTATCTCTGGCCTCCTCTCCTCATGATGAATCTGAAGCATGCTGATTCCTGTGAGCAGTCTGGTCTGCTATTGATTGAAGTTTGGCAGGTGGCTTGTTATAACGTTCATTTAATTTTCCATGGTGTAATTCAGGATTTCCCATCTGAGGTTCACAAAGCTCTTGGGGTTCATAGAGACTGAGATAGAAATGTCAATGTCAGATGAAATTAAATGAAATGTACACTACAGTTCAAAAGTTTGGGGTTGGTAAGATTTTTTAAATGTTTTTGAAAAAAGTCTTATGCTCACCAAGGCTGCATTTATTTGACCAAAAGTACAATAAAAACAGTAATATTGTGAAATATTAGGACAATTTAAAACAACTGTTTTCTATTTTAATATATTTTAAAATGTAATTTATTCCTGTGATGAAAAGCTGAATTTTCAGCATCATTACTCCAGGCTTCAGTGTAATGACTTGATTACTTTTATTTTATTTTAGGGAATTAATTACTATTAATTCAGTCAGGGTTTGAAAGGAATCGAATCTTGAAAATTCGATATCAACCTGATTAAAACTGATTTCAAATCTTATAGTATACACTTTAAATCAAGGGTCGTCCAGTGAGCCGGTGATTCTTAGTATATTTTAACAACTTGAATCTTTGTATTTCCCTGGCCACGGTCAATACAATTATTATAAGTAAGCTATTATAGTAATTATTATAAGTAAGCTACGAGCTAGGTAGCAAGGGATCTTTGGCAAGAGTCTTGACTTTGAGATATCACGACACCAGACAATAATTCTTTATAAATGAAACACGAATTTTATTGGCTATTCTGGATTACATTAAAGCTAAACTAAAGCACACATACATACACACACACATACATACATACAGATTATTAGAATGAGAGTTGACGAAGTTCTTATGAAGTTTCAAACTTCTAACACTCGTTTTCACGAGTGGTTTAAATTCACCTGAGAGAATTCACAAACAGAGAATTTTAGCTTCTGTTTACTGCTTCAAGTAGCTCTACACCAGTTCAGCAGAGATAAGATTTGGTTCGTTTACTTGCGTTCTGCTTGGTTGACAGCTGAAAAGCTGAGTTGTTCTCGTGGCTCCTGGCTGGCTGCTGAGGGAATCTCGGCGCTTTAGGATTGGTCGCTGAGATGACGTTTGGATGACGTCGTTTCGGGAAAGCCCTCGTTGCATTGGTTGTTTGCCTGATGACGGAAGAGGCTTCAACAGTCCTATGAAAAGTCTCTGTTTTAGCAAGGCTTTGTGTTCTGCAGAGTTACGAAGTTTCAAACGGAGTATTTGAGTTCTGGAGTCCCGCGATGTTACGGCAGGGAAGCGCTTGTAGCGCTGTTATTTTTCCGGATAAAAATAGACAAAATTCCTAATATTATCTTGGGTCATTATTTTCTCAGTCAAATCTTTTGTCAGCTTATTTTTCTCCACCAGATGTAATGACTTGATTATTTTTATTTTATTTTAGGGAATTAATTACTATTAATTCAGTCAGGGTTTGAAAGGAATCGAATCTTGAAAATTCGATATCAACCGTGATTCAGTGGCGTATCAGTGTCCTGTTCATGAAATCCCTACATCAGTGTCACATGATCCATCAGAAATCATCCTAATATACTGATTCACTGCTTAAGAAACTTTTCTCATTATCAGAGTTGGAAAATTTTGCAACAATTTTATTTATTTTTTTTACAATTTTGAGCAATTGAATTAATCCTTGCTGAATAAACATATAATACATTTTTTTTTTATTAATTAATAAAAACAATTAATGGTAGTGTATATTTTAATGTGTAATATATATGGTACATACAAAAAATGAGTCGTAATGGTCCTTGCTATCATTCCAGATATGAATGATACCCAAAATCCTTCAGAATATAGATGAGAAATGTGCTATTACTTTTCTAATGGATTTTCGTCTGAGAAATCATAAATCAGAAGAAAAAATGAACATCCACACTCCCAAACTCTTCACTAGTGATTATCCCGAGCTGTGATGTCAAATGCAGCAGACAGGTAACATTATAAGTACATTTCAAACTTTTCAGAGCTTTCCAAAAAGGAAATGGTATTGGTTAAACATCTACCAATGAATTATTTGCTATCTAAATGTTGCAAAAGATGTATTTTGTCAGAATTCACCGCTACTTTTAAATGGACCTCAATAGGGAAAGATACATGGTGAAATTACAAAATCTACCAGCAGGGGCTACCTATGCTAACTTGCTCAGTTGAATAAAAGGTTAGTATAAATGATCTAACGTGACTTAAAAGTGAATTTACAGATGTTCAGTTCAGTGTCAAACTTCCCTGACATCATGCTGCAAGCTCGATAGACAGTTACCTGTTGCTTTCTTGACTGAAAATGTGTGTATGTGTTTGTGTGTGTGTGTGTGGAGCCACAGATGGTGTTTTTGTGTTGGAGGCACGCTGGGGCCGTTTATCACATACAGTATCTGCGTGCAGGCGATGCTACACCTCGTCATGTGTTTATAAAGGAGCCACTCGCCTCTGTAGTGCTCAACTAAGCGTTTGACAACACTGTCTGTTTGTTGATGTGACAGGTGTTGGCTACTATGTGTGAGTTTACTGTCTGTTTCCTCCTTCCATCCTTTTTTTTTCTTCATTTCCCTTCTCTTTCTCTCTCTCCCTCCCTTCCCTCTGCCCATTCCGTGGGTTAAAGGGTTTGTTCAGCATCCGTGTGTTGACTCAGGAAAGTGCATCGAGGCAGAGGCCTGCTGGGAAGTGTAGTTGCCGTAACAGGGAGCAGTTAAATGGATATTTTGCTCGGTCTGTTTATGTGTTTAAATAATTAGTTTGTTTTTAGTTTCTCGCTCTAGCGGACTGTGATGAAACAAAACAGCCAAAGGGGCCCTCTGGGCCCTCTGGGCCACTTAAGTAAAACAGGAACAAGTGTATCAGTTGAGGCAGTGAAATAAAAAGCAAAAGAGACAGACACATTTACCTGTATGTTATTCAGGTGATGGTAATTCTGTTTCAGTTAATATTTTATTGCAGGCCTCCTCCAGTTTGACTAAAAAAAGATGTTTGCATCAGCTCTGATGTCTGGCAGTATTTCATTATGCACAAAGGCTCAACAGTAAGGATTCAGTGCGGATTTCTTCTTGCCCTGCCAATGTTGTCCAACACATTTTTTTAATGAATTTAACGGTTGTATTTTGTATGTTTTATTTTAAAATAATAACCTATGCTTATTATTTAATATCATATCTAATATTTATATTATTTATTATTATACATTTCACAAGTATACACTACTGTTCAAAAGTTTGGGGTCAGTAACATTTTTTTTTTTATGCAATTACTTTTTATTTAGCAAGGACACATTAAACTGATCAAAGTGACAGTAAAACTTTTAGATTGTTACAAAAAAAATCTATTTCATATAAATGCTGTTCTTTTGAACTTTCTATTCATCAAAGAATCCTGAAAAAAAAGTATCACACATTAAAAAAAAAAGCTGTTTTCAGCATAATAAGAAATTATTCTTGAGCACCAAATTAACATACCATCACAGGAATAAATTACACTTTAAAATAGATAAAAATAGATAACTTTTTTATTGTAATAATATTTCACAATATTACTGATTTTGCTGTATTTTTAATCAAATAATTTCAGCCTTTGTGAGCGTCAAATCTTACCACCTTAATTTTTTGTGCATTTAAAGCAGGTACATAAAAAAAACAGCTGCAACACAGAGGCCGATTGCATTTGAGTTGAACATTTTGTGTTGTGGTTTGAGTGAATAATGCCAAAAAGATGTCCATTTGCCAAAAAAGACCGGCAATTTTGTGATTCCTTGAAATATGTCTTAGAAGACAAAACCATGCCAAAGCTGTGCAGTGTGTGCTGAGCATAATGGAAGAGAAACACAAACTGCAGTGGTGTTGTTGTCTTGTTTTGGTAGTGGTAGCTTATTTTGGAAGGAACATGGAGCTGCTAGTAAAGGACTGACTACATGGGCGATGAGAGACAGAGAGAAATTGCCTGTGGGAGGAAAAAGGAAAAGAGTCAGTATGAGATTATATAAACACTTGACATTTTGGATCAATTCAAATGCACTGAGATCTCCGCAGTCTTGTGTTCTTCTGTATATGAGAGATACTTAAATAGATCCCGTATCAGAGACGATCCTCTTCATTAAAGGCCTCCGTATGTTTGGACTGATATCAGAGCACAATTGCTGTGGTAATACATTTGGCCTGAGCTTCTGGGTGTACTCTGATCCCAGCATCATAGACGATATATCAGGTCATCAAAAGTGACCTATTTTAAATATATCTCAAGGCATCTGAAATATTAGAGCCCATCTGACCCCAGGGTCCTTCAGAGCTCTGTGTGGCAAGGATTTTAGTTCGGGCTCAGCTCTTTGAAAAATATCAGAATCGTTTTACTGGCCAATTTAAGTTCAGATCAGGGTTTGACTATTATCAGTGGAAAAGCACACACATAATTTCCCTTCTGCTGGAGAAACACTTGGGACACAATAAAGCATGCATATAAACTACAGTATATACATTACTACTGCGTACACAGTTGACTTGAGATAGTCTGCAACAACACAGCAACACTCTAAAAACCATTCATGGTCATTCTGTGCAGTCATATGTCTCAATAACTGGGAAAAATATTGTTTTTTTTAAGTTAAAAATTATTAACTACATTAGATAGTTTTCACAATTAGCTTAACATTTTAAAAATTATTTTAAATAATTTTACTACTTTGGTTTGAGTTATTTTTGTGATATCCTTGGATGCTTTTTTTAATATATTTTTTCTTTCTCTAGTTAAATGTTTTTTGTTGTTTTTGTTGTTGTTTAAAAAAACATATTTTCTTTTGAATATTGTTTTAATTGATCGTGATATTTTAGGTATGTCACATGTCCTCAATATCCCTTTCCATCATATATTATGCCTTTAAAAAAGGAAAAGGCAGTTTCGATGTGACTTCATT